CTGAAGAATTCCAGCCTTTAGATGGATGAGTGTGTGATGTCATCATAACTGCATTTTTATGTAAATGCGTGCCATAAAATAATTTTGGATTAAATGATGTGTTCCTTTCATGTTGGCAGAATATAATTCATCTTTAATGGCAACAGACTGTTGTATATGTGCATCTGAAAGTTAAATATTTTGATTCACACTTATGATGTATTGATTTTACATTGTTACCAAATGGTATTTCAAAATCAATTCAGAATGCCATAGTTCAAAATCTAGTCACTCATAAAGTTATTTTCTTGTAAACCACTCTGAAAGTGGGGGTGGTTAGGAGAGGGTAAGAGCTACAAAGAGAAGGCAAATGGAAGGATTTCAGAGGGTGGTAGGTTTGAGAGCAATCTTAATTTTTATCATTTCTACGTGTTCTTATGCAAACATTGCTTCTGTGGTATTAAACAATAATAAATCCAGAAATGCAAAGCTGTTTGTTATCATCTCACTCTGGATTTGTCTAAATGTATACTAAATCTCAGTTTTTGGCTTTAAGGAAGTATTCATTGGTTTAAAAAAAAAAAAAAAAGAAAACAACACTTGATCCTCATTGTGCAAACATTTACATGTATGTAATCCAGAAAAATTCAGTGTGAGTACATTTTTTGATGTGAACAAATGATGGCAAGACTGCTCAGTTTGGACAGAACACCTTATTCAGTATTACTTTAACCAAAGCCAGAGTAGTTCTGGCTTCACGAGATACTTCAGCACTCTCTGATTCTGTACTGCTGACACTTGTGACACCCTTCATTTGCTGCACTCACATCTGCTAGTGCTAGCGCTGCATGAGAGTAGTGTAGGTAAGAAGAAACCTTTGGGGTTTGCATATGATAAAAATGAGAGAGATGCAAAGATACGTTGTTTACGCATAATCACACCAAATCCTTTCAAAAATACTAGTAACTATTAAAAAGAAGATATGATCATAAAAGACTGTCCTATACTCACAGTGCCTGGGTACACTTCTAAAAAGGTGCAAGATAATGTCATATTCTCTCTTGACTTTGTCTACTGCTGTCATGCACATCTTAATGTTGAATTTTAAAAACTCTTAAGTTATAACCAAGCTACTGTATCTCCTGTAACCATGTGTCTGCAATAACAAATGTGTTTTATGTATTTCTTCCTTTTTATTTCTCTTTTTCCTACAAGATTTTTTTTCCACCAAAGGACTGTATTTAAACAGGAATACTTGCTACAATGAATGAGAAAAGTATTTTTGTGTTTCATGTGTGTATACATATAAACATACATATAAGCAATTCAGTATGTCATCCTATTTTCCTGATGTATATATTAGTTCAGCTTTGCTCTCTGGCTTGTGGTACAATGGTACCTTCCTCCTGGCATAGAGAAGAGGCTCGTTAAATTTGAGCAGCAGAAAACAGTGGCACATCTTGAAGCAGTAGCATCTGGTATTCTCAGCCTCAATCAATGCATGCCAAAGGAATACTGTGTGCTACAAATATGTCTGATAGCCTTTAATGTTTAATAGGTTTTTGTAGTACAATATTGCTCTCTTTTGCTTTCTTTTGACTGCGCTGCCTAATTATCATGTACTTGTACGTACTGCATTATTTCACAAACATAAATACATGCACAGTAATTTCATTTCTAATATAAATGCAAGCTAAGTTTCCCAGGCTATTGGAATTTCTGTATATTAAGCAATTGACTCATCTTTTGCTTACAAGCATTTTTGTTACTATTTTAATAATCCTTTGGTTTTGAGGGTAAAACGGTTCCCAAAACCCTCAGGAGTAAGCAGAGGTGTGTAGATGGATATATAATATTTTTGATCATCCTCTTAATCTTCTTGTTAGTGGGGATAGAACTTCATTGTAAACTACAAAGTCTTCTAAATTAGTGGTCTTCGTCTTGTGTTTTGGGATACTTGGAACTGTCAGTAAAGAATCCACAAATGTGGAGGAGAGAGAGGTGAGATCACATGTACTACCCAACAGTCTGCCCAAGGAAAATCTTCAAGGAAAAAAAAATAATAAGAAGAACAGCTTAAGAAATCAAACAAAGGTGTAAACCCAACCAGTAGTCCTCCAACTTCTAAATTGTCCTTATTTGACATAAGAAAACCTTGCCGTCCTGTCCCAGAAGTGACACATGGAAATGCTTATTCTCACACTCAAAGCTAGTGTTGGCTAACAGTTAATTTCTGGATGAGGTGGGAGCAGTTGACTTGCACATTCCTTTTTATACATTTGGCTGGACAAAAAGCAGTGGCAGCTGCAAGAGCACGAAGGCTGTGGTTCTGAGGAAGATATGGAGTGACATTTTTTTGTTGTGAATCTCAGTGAGGCATAAGAAAACCTGTTTATTTTGGAGGAGTTCATTCCTTTTCAAAATTGTAGCATGCTGCAGTAGAGTGGTCTGTGGCTTATCTAGTTTTAGTTCAAACAACAAAAGCTGGGTTCGTGTAACAGTAATGCTGGCCATAGCTGTAATTGGAGTTCCACTGAAAATAGAGTCAAACTCCATTTAAATACTTTCAGGGGATGAGGGGAATATCTAATTTGCTTTCTTTAAACCAAGATCTGTTCAGTTCAGACTTGGTACATTTTCTCCCTGCTTTATTAATTCCATTGTGTGAATTGTACTGCTACAACTTTTTTGTTGTATTTCTACAACTTTTATTTGAAAAGAACTGTTATACTTGGCAAAGTTGTAGTGTGTTCTCACATACACAACTCTTAATTTCTGTATTATAGTATCAAATAACTATTTCAATAAAAATATAAAATGAAAAGTTTGTGGAAGACTGAAATCAAATGGCAGAAATGAGCTTTAGGAAACCCCAAAGACAGAGCTGTAGTTTTGAGAGAGTTCTAGCCCTCTACTTTGCAGGATCTGAAAAAGCAAGCTCTACTATCTGCATCTCAGTACTTTTATGTTGCCTTTCCAAAGGAAAATGGAGTTGGATGCAGGCCTGAGTTAGATCTCACGGGGATAGTGTTCTGTACCTTAAATTACAATCAGATGTATTTTAGTTCAGATGAAGTTTTCAGCCTAAAATTGGTAAGAAGCCTAATTATTTGACCAGGTTACTATTTACACAGACCACTGTATAGCAATCTGTGATTTATCCACAGCTGGCAACATGTTAACCTTGAAAGGTTTTTATTTTGTGTTTGGAACAGTATTTAAATATCCAACTCTGTTCATTAAATGAAAAACTAAAAGATGGTAGAGATTGCTATGGAGACAAGATGTTATATAAACTGTTCATTTTAATTCTTCAGAATGTAAAAATAGCAAAGAAGCTTGGATGTTTACAGGCTTCCAGTCATTCAAGGTACTGAGTAACTCCATAAGATGCAAAGCATTCTTATGCCCTTTGGACTTTTATTGTCTTTCAAAATCCAGGCATGATTCGCTACAAGCAATCCTGCATTCACTAGACTGGAAAGCGTGGGGTAGGGAGAAATAAACAAGAGACTTCCTAAGTAGTCTTTAACCTGTAGACTTTTTATTATATTATTTTCCAGCAGTATGATGCCTAAGATGATCAGCTAGCTGAAGTAGACAGGAGAAAAATATAGATATGCTATGATCCAAAGACAGAATAATATGGTTAAAACTTGGAAAATAAAATTGTTTCGCTGTTGTACCTTTTAGAGTGGCAGTGTTATAGATAGAACTGAAATGGGGTTTTATTTGTGTGACCCCCCAAAAAAAGATTGCTGTGTACTGTGACATTTTCTCTGGCCCTAAATTTAACCCTTGCTGCTCTTGCTTGAGAATGATTGTTGTTCAGTGAGTTTTGAGAACAGTTCATAAAATTGCTTTTAGAATCATAGAAATAGAACATATGATTTTTTTTTTTTAATTAGTGTAAACACCAAGCCATTGTCTAATTAATAGAGTAGTGAAACTAGGGAATTTTTACATAACGCCTGGAACACATGTGGAAAAACATTGCCTATCAGGGTTGGAGGTAAGTGTGTGCAAGGCTAAATTCAAACTGGCACCCTTGAGCTGATCTGTGTACGCGGTTGAAATCACCATTCACAATTTCATAGACAAATTCAGTTCTGTTCATTCTCTGTTTCATTTTTTGATTCTTTGTATTTATCTGTGATAACATTCAGCTTGGGGAAGAAGAGATCTTGAAAAATCATTTCCCTAGATCTGTTAGCAACCAAGAACTTTAATATTAAAGAATGAAGGACAATACTCTAGGGGAGGTGATAAACTATATTGTTACGTTTTTTAAAGATGTGGTATAATGGAAAAGAATTCAGTATCTTTTGCGTAAATACTGTAGCTGGATGTCCCATTGAGACTCTGGAGTCTACTGCTGTGCCAGCCGAGGGGCGAGAACTGCAGGTCTGCTCAGTTCTGATAGCTGACAGCATCGCAGTCTCCCTTCCCGTGAGCACCGGTATCCCTTTATGGAGTCTGTGGTTGTAGGCAAATGGGCAGAAATGTGAAAAGCCATAGTTTTTTCCTATAGGATAATTACAACTACTACAGTGACACCATGCTCAACAGATTTGTTATAAACAAGGTAGTAATTTCTCAGGGATGGGATTTCATTCATCTTTTAGCTGTGTGTAAGCCATCTTATTGGACATTGGAATTAAGCAGTGCAGTCTGATTGACTGTCGTTCTATAAAGGGCCATTTAGAACGATCATGTAGCACCTTTTAAAATACAAACACTAGTCTTGGCTGCCATGGAAAAGGAAACAACATGCAGCGCAGTAGTAGTGGGTTATGTTTAATTCTGGAGCGTTGTCATTCTCAGCATATGCAGATTCTTTGTCACTTCTGTAATTTCTTAATGGAAAGGCAGCATTTAGACATAGTTTTTTGTTTGATTTTAAATCTGTGCATATATATGACAGAAAAGTTGGGTTGGAGAGATGTTATAGAAGCAGCATACTTAATGTGGTTCCTGATTTGAAACTATTAAAAATCATTTGTTTTTTCTGGTGCTTGCAGGGATTCTTCCTGACGGTTTCACCAGAAGCAATATTAAAAGTGGCTACTCAAGCTTCTGCAAACAACAAGATCTTCAGCTTGAATCTTTCTGCACCATTTATTAGCCAGTTCTACAAAGAGCCTATGATGAAAGTCATGCCCTATGTTGACGTCCTTTTTGGAAACGAGACGGTGAGTCTTAACAAAGTATTTGCATCTCTTGCACCTGCTTGGTTGTGTCCAGAAGCCTGCTTTTTGGTTTTCCTTCACATAGAAAGTCACCATCTGAGGTGTCAGTAGAGAATGAAATCTGCAGTCACTGGACTGTGAAATTTCCATTGATGCCAAACACGTAACTTGACCCGTCAGAGGTTTGCAACTTGCTTGTTTTAGTGTGGCAACACATGAACAAGTTACTCTAGATTAAAAGAGGATATGTCCAACACATTGGATGTTTCCTAATAGCTGCCCGTATACATGATGTACTCACTCAGCAGTTAAATCTCTGCTGGAAGAAAAAAATATGAAGGGCCACTGCAGAGCTACTGAAGTGCTGTAACTTGTTTCCATACACATACTCCTATTCTTGATAGCATTTTCTGTGATGAAGTAGAATCTTTGGGGAGAAGTGGTAGGAGAAAGCTAAAAAACATTTAATTGGTTTAGAAGGCTCTCATTGATTTTTATGGTAGATAGACTGGTGGTCCATCTAAGGAAGGCTTATCTTTGCTATGCAACAGTTGGGAAACAGATTGCATGAAACTCTGCCTGGAAGTCCATGGTAATAGACCCGCTGAATTCAGATTTCACTCATTGTAGTGCTATCACTTTTTGATTTTTTCCACTTCAGAAAGTGCTTTTAAAAATTAGTTTGTTCTGCACAAAATGGTTAAGTAAATAAATAAATCTTAGAAAGTGTGATATACCTAAATGAAGTGTTGGCATGTCTCTCAAGATAACTACATTAGTACTGGAAAATTATGGAAAAGTTACTCATTCCTGTTAGTGGTTATTCCTGATTGTGACACAGAGAGTTCCACCAACACAAATCAATTTTTACACTGTTTCTGCATCTACACATTAGGGGCTAGCATTATTACAAATACAGTACCTAAAGAAGTACTTTTAAAATGGAGAATACGGCAATATTGTTAGATGCAGTAGGATAAGGAAAAAAAAAAAAAAAAAAAAACGTAGATAGCAATATGGAAGTAGTATTTTCTGGACATTGTGCTGCTATTGCCAGTTTTTGCTTTAATTCAGTCTTCTGCAATACAGTCCTTACAAAGAGCATTTGGATTTCATAGTAGTGTATTCTAAAGAAAAAAAAAAGTCAGGTCTCACAAATTAGGTAGACCAAGTCTAGTCAGTGTTTGGGTGGGAAAGGTTCAGAGTAATTTCTGGGATTAAATATTGCTGGTCTTCTCTATAGATATTGTCCCATTCACCTACTGGGAGAATTCATATCACAGGAGTTCGTAAGGTACTGTTTCTCAGAAGATAAAACACAGATTGGTACTACTTGTATATTTGCATGCTTTGTCAGCAATAGTCCACTATACTGGCAACATTCCAGTTTTGCAAATTATATTCAGTCTACCTTAATTTCCCCTGACATTTCAGTTTGCTGTGGTGTTTTTCACCTGCTGTCATAAAATACTGTGTAGAATTGTTGTGCATATTAAAGTGTGAAATATTTTCTGCATTTTCTTTGTATAATTTCTGAAGCGTCCTGTTGTCTTTCAGGGTAAAAGACACTATTTAAGCTTAAGTGACCATCCTTGGACTTGTCTGTACCATGTGTAAACACTCTGGAGTACCAGCCTCTCATGGTATACTTTTGTAATCAGTTGAAACCCTGGTCATCTTTTAGTATCTGTTTTCCACTATATAAGCTGGACGTTGCTACTTTTGAGTTGTTGAAATCATATTCACAGTGGTTTATTCTCTTGTCGTTCTGTGTGACTTGAAACCACACTCTTGGCATGGTATACTTCCAGTTTATAGTAGCTGCTGTATCTTGTAATTGTCAGTCTTCCTGCTCTCTGCATATGGTTTGTGGTAAAGAATAGTTACAAAACTCAAGAGAAGCTTACTCTGACATGTTCTGCATTCTGGTAGCTTCCTTCTTTGTTTATTGTTCCTACATTTATTTCATCTGCAAGTACATTCAGGACTTTGTGTTTATGTATGCCTTGATGGGGAACGAACCTCCCCAGCTAGTCAACACCAAAATTTTGCCCATTTACTGTGATTTCCTTTTACTTTTTTCTGTTTTCCATCAGTTTTGCTAGTTTAGTTAAATCCTTAAAGTGCGTAAGTTAACATATACGCAAGACATACAAAGTTGTGTCGTTGTTTTTTATTAGTACAAACAATAGACTCAGACATGGTTTTTATTCTTCTCTATGTTTATCTTCACTCCACATTATAGACCAATACAATTTGATTGTTAATCACTGAGCTGTTTGGTTTTTTTAGAGTAATACAAAAAACATCCAAGAACAGCAAAATTCCAAATTACTGCCATTCCTAAACTAAAAACAATTGGCGAAGTGATTTTAAATTACATCTTCTACTTAAAAATTTACATCTGAATGGAGATTGGTTATTTCAAGTTTCAGCCAGATGGTAATTAAAATGGGCAAGTTATAAACCTCTTAGAATAAATGTTCTAGTTCAGAATGTAAATGCCAGCATACCCTTAACTGCGATGGAGACATTGAATGCTGTGATAACAACTCAATACATTTATCAGTTTCAGCATTAGCTCAATGACCAGTGGTGTTTTGATCATTGCTTTAAAACCCTTTTACGACTAGCCAAACATCTTGCCTTGGATTTTGATACTTATTAACTGTACTTCATGTAATAAATTTAGTACAGAACATTCAGAATAGGAATAATTACATGTTCATTGCTGCTAACCAATTAGGGCCATTCTGCAGTTATTATCTAGCAATACATGACTGGAGAACTTGATTATTGTCATTGCTTTTAATTTTTATTAAATTAAGTTTTTTTTAATAGTGTCATTTTGCAAATGATTCTTAGCAATAATACCTTCCAAGCTACCATAATCACTGGATAATTAACCTGCCAGGATTAAGCACACTCTACTTTGCCTCAGGATGCTTAACTCTCAAATAAGGTCAATTATCTCCTGATGATAACTGCTTTGTCACAAGTTGCTGCTTAATTCATCTGTAGAAGCTCACCTTAGAATACATATTTTACAACTCAGAGTAACTTACAGTAACTGAATGGTCAAAGGAGTGAAAGCTTTTAAAATTACATCCCTACGTAAAATTGTGCCATGTTTCCTACGCAGCAATTACCAGGCAAGTAGAGGAGACAAAATTTGCATCTATTTCTTTTCTAGACCACTTTCTCAGTTAGGGCTAAAACTTACCGTCTCTGATGCACTTTGCAACAGGGTCAACCCAGGAAGCACCACTTCTGTGCTACTTTATTTTCATCAGAGAACCCATAGAGAAGTAAGTAATGGCCACAGGAACATGCCCTCCTATTTTTAGTCTCCCCAAAAGATGTGAGTTACAGTAGCTTTTCTTCAGGGAAGGGACTACTTCTGGTGGGAAAGGTTCTGTGTTGTGGAACATGTAGCTGGGGATAGCAGTTTCTTTCCTTTGGAGTTCTTCGGAATTCAAGGGACTCTACAAAGCTTTCATATGATTCATCCCCACATATGGCAGTCATTCATGACTCAGAGAGGAATATTTATTAATATATTGATGTGGTAAAGATCTTCTGGGTTGTCTTCCTACATGCAGGCAGGATATCACTGAGAAATTTTAGAATTTAGAAACTTCAGAATTACAGACATGCTGAGCTCCACATCTACTGCTTTGTAATTAAAAAACAAACAAACAAACAAAAAAAAACAATATATCTTGTATGTAGTGTGCAACAATCAGTAAAAGTTAAGGAGGGTATGGAAAATAGAAATCATGGATTTTTTTTTAAGCAGTGGAATAAACAAAAATAATATCACAAATCTTGGAAATGAGATCTTCTCTAGTGTAAAGAGCTGTTACTTCTAAACACACAGTCTCTGAACAAATTAATTACAGGATTGTAAACTGAATTCTGCAAAGACAGATGCTTCTGCTAGCTGTTTGGGAAATTGATGCTGGTGTGACAGCAAACGTGCTGAAAAGAGAAAGTTGTGTGCAAGACATCTATGTTTTAGCAAGCGATGACAATAGCTTTAGTAATGATTCTGGAATTATGAATCCTGATCTTTAAAAAGATGGGGGCCTTTGTATGCGATAAGATATCAGGCAGCTCTTGTCATCATTTCAGCTTATAATTACACTGAAATGGCACATTTTGTTACATTAATTTAAAATGCTTTCAAGTGAGGCATCAAATACTAACATAAACATCCCCACAAATATATGTGGTTTAAATATAGTCTTTGTGAACCTTTATAAGCCTTTATAAAGGCAAGTCTCCTTAATGACATGGGAAATTCACTTTAATGGCTGATTAACAGTCATTAAAACTGATAAACTCTTTAAAACAGATAACAATGGTTAACATTCTCCCGATTTGATCTTGCTGTCTGTAGGTTTGTGCTTTTCTTAACTGTAGGAGTGAATGGATTTCTCTGGCATAAAACTGTTTTCAACACTCTGGGATTTACACCTAAATGACAGTTTCCAAATAAATTAGTCTATTCCCTTCATGTAACTTATAACACATGTTTGTAAACAACTTTCACTGCACATACTTCGGTATATAACATTACCATATGATATTTGGGCAAAACTCAGTCCTATCTATAAACTTTGCTGGATTATCACCTGGGACAGGATTGGATTAGAAATCCGCCCACAGCTCACAAGAACAAGATGTAATAGCCTTTGTAAGGTAAACGAGCTGCATGGTGATTCTTTTTAAAACTGATGTGCATTTACAATGGTGTAATTGAATTGATCTGAATTTACACCAATCTAATTGCTACTGTTCATGCACCTAGCAGATCCTTTACCACGCTGACTGCACACCTTTTCAAACTGGTGAAGTGTCTGTTTCTGAGGAAATGATTAAGAGATGAGAGACAGGAGAAAATCAGGTGGCAGGTATAATTTGGTATGTGGAGGAAGGGAAATACAGTTTGACTTTTGATGACTGAGGAAAGGCAAGAAAACGTTTCAATCTGTTCTTCC